TTGTTTTCTACATATATAGGGTCTCACAGTAAATGGAAAATGGTCTATTAAATGTGCTGTACATGTATACTCATGTTCAGACTTTGCACATACATGTAAACATGCATTATTGTTTATGATTTGAACCAAAATTACACATTTTCACCATTCCATCACTTGATTTTAGTCATGTGTGCACAAATTTGGTGTAAACTTACATGTACATACATTTTTTTTCCCTGATCAGGTGCAAAATGGCCAACTGGTGGCTATTTCGTTTAAAAAAATGTATTTCCAGATGTATATTTCTGACATGCCTGGTTCGATTATGTTCAAACTTACATCATATCAAACATATACATATGTGTCATGATTTGATTAAAAATGGGCAAATGTCAGCCATTTTATGCCTTAAAATATATTGAAATCCAACATTTTGGATGTTGTCATGTGTATATATGAGCATTTGTGTCATGATTGTGTCAAGCGTTTGTGGAACCATATTTCAAGTATTCATTGTGGATTTTGTTCAAATTTGTTGCATAACAAAAGGATTTTCCAGAGATGTAAAAATCTAATACATTTTGAGATTGCATGCATGTACATACGTATAGTGAGATACTTGAATAATAAAAGAGACTTTATCACAGCTGACTTGCTTATAATTGATCAAGCATATGTCCCGGTAATAAATGCAATTATTGGTGTTTGTGCACTTGTATTTGAGATGTATTAGAGCCAATACCGTGTACAGATGTACATGTATTTATATGTTAAATTCCTAGTCACAGTTTCCTGCTTCCTTATAATGACCAAATAGTAAATCAGTTGTGGTTTTAAGATGTTATGGCTGAGGTTTTTTAAGTAATAGTGTCAGGATAATTTATTGATGTCCTTACAATTGATGCAATAAGTGTCAGTCTAGACAAATACATTCCTGCACCCAAAGGGGTTTCACTTCTGCTAAAAGATCTTTGCCACTTTGGAATTGTCTGAAAGCTGCCAATGTATTCCATGTTGCAGCTGTTTAAAAGTTCATGAAAAATTCTGGGATATCGCAACCAGTTTTAATTTAAGTTGTATGTATTTTGAACAATATTTAATTTCAGAATGGTTGCTATGGAGAAAGTTATTGTTATGGGAGCAAGTTTTGGTACCCCCAATTTTGATTTGCGTATTGTCATTTAAAAACTTGATAGTTAGATTCTTATAAGAATATTTTGCAAGGGCAAATCTCATTAATTATCTCCAGAAATGGAACATAACAATGTTATTTTTAATCATTTTAAATATTAACTGCTATTGTCAGTTTTACGGTTACATGTGACAATAGATAGATTTCAGAGTTGATTATACAAAAGTTGTATTTTTAGTGAATTATTGATTTTTTTAAAGTTCCTATAGTATAGTGGTTTTAAGACCATTGCTTTGCAAGTAAAAGGTCAAGAGATTGAATCCTATGGTAGAAACTTATTTTTTTTCACTTCTTCATTTTAATTTTCTTTTCTTTCGAATAAAAAATTCTATACTTTTCCTGTTTTTTTGGTGTTGTCTTTTTCATTATTTTCACATTTGTTTGTACTCATTATCAACAGAGGGCGCCCTTTAACTTTTTGTTCA